CTTACAATGGACTTAAGTTAATGGCCTGCCGTGTGGTTTGGCAACATCGGGACTGTGACTTTTTACTTGTTAACCTTGGGGCTTCTCAACCTCAGCAGCCAGCACAGTGAAGAAACGCCTCTAGCTCCAGTGGTCTGGAGGAGAAGGCAGAGCTGGACCCCAAGGTTGAGGGGCTTTCACCCAGCCCCTAGAGCCTGGCTCTTTGAACTTGGACTTAAAGCCTCCAAATTGTAAGAATAAACTCCTGTTTGTTTAAGCCATCCCATTTGTGGTATATTTCTTGTCAGAGCGGTAGGTACTAGGTGACCCGAACATCCTTCTCTAGGAACTGGTCCCTTCTCGCAACATGACCAAAGTAGGTGAGACAAAGTCTGGCCATTCTCACTTCTAAGGAGTATTCAGGTTGCACTTCTTCCAGGAAAGATCCGTTCTTCTGGCAGTCCATGGTATTTTCACTATTCTTCACCAGCATCACAATTCAAAGGCATCAACTCTTTTTGGTCTTGTTTATTCACTGTCCAGCTTTCACATGCATATGAAGCAATTAAAAATACCATGGCTCAGGTCAGGTGCACCTTAGTCTTCTTAGTGGTATCATTGTTTTTTAACACTTTAAAGAGATCTTTTGCAGCAAATGTGCCCAGTACTATACAATATCTGATTTCTTGACCACTACTTCCATGGGTGTTGATTACGGATCCAAATAAAATGAAATCCCTGACAGGTTCAATCTTTTCTCTATTTATTATGATGTTGCTTACTGGTCCAGTTGTGAGGATTTTCGTTTTAGGTGGAATTTTTGTTAAGGTATAATCCATACTGATGACTGTAGTCTTTGATCTTCATCAGTAAGTGCTTCAAATCATCTTCACTTTCAGCAAGTAAGGTTGTGTCATCTGCATACCACAGATTGTTAAGGAATCTTCCTCCAATGCAGATACCATGTTCTTCACACAGTCCAGCTTCTCAGATTATTTCTTCAGCGTACAGACTAAGTAAATATGGTGAAAAGATACAACCCTGGTGCACCCTTTCTGATTTTAAACCATGCAGTATCCCCTTACTCTATTCAAACAATAGCCTCCTGGTCTATGTACAGGTTCCTCATGAGCACAACTAAGTGTTCTGGAATGTACATTCTTTGTGATGTTATCCATAATTTGTTATGATCCACACACAGTCAATAAAACAAAGGTAAACAAAGTAAATTGCATTATAAATACATAATTAGCAAAATGCAGACTGTGGGAAACTACAGCTCAAACTATCAGTTTAACAGATAAATTGTAAGCAAAAGTAAAGGATCAAGGGGAACCTATAACTTAAGACATAGCAAATAAAAGGGAAGGAGAATAAATTATGTTTAGGTATATCTCATGTGGTGTTAAAAGATAAAGAAACACAAGAAAGTAATTACTATAAACATAGAGATAATGATTACTTTGAAGAGCAGGCAACAGGTTGTGATTGGCTGTGACCTAAGGAAGAGCTTCTATGTTGAGTGAAAAAGTCCTATTTCTTAACCTAAGTAAGGGTATCATGCTTTTGGTCTTATAACAATTACCTAGGGGAGGGTTTAATGCTTTTGGTCTTATAATTAATATGTTTGTTTTTTGTTTTACAATAAAAAGGATTTCTTTAAAAAGTAAATGATTACAAAAGAGTCATTTGACTTCTGTAGTTACCTCCAAATGGCACAAGAAGTCATCATCATTTTGGAAATGGAATAGTGCATGTGATAATTGCAGTTTCAAGATTCAATAACCTCAGATCCCTAGAACTTTTTACTGTTATTGTTGTTGTTGTCATGTGCCGTCGAGTCAGACCCAACTCATAGCGACCCCTCCTTATTACAGGATCTTAAAAATAGATGCTAACTCATGTATATGAAATTAAGTGTCTTAGCATGAAATGAATTTGGCCTAATATCTAGACATAGGAGCTTTTATGTGTTAAGGACTGATTAAGACAATAAAATGACCTTCATATTGGTGGCTTTTTTAATTACAAGCTTCCATTCTATAGACCTGTTTGACCAATAATTTGTCTTCCATGAGGGTAAATGGTAGCAGAATAAGTAAAGGTTAAAAACTTTGGTGAAGCCTTCCCTCTTCCTTCTATCTTGTATCCAAGGAAAATTCAGAATAAGCAGAGAGCAGAGATTTAACATTACGTAGGATTTTCAAACATGAATGGGGTGGGGGGGAGTGAAGGACGATCTCCTTAGCCTCAGAGATATAATCTCATTGACCTGAGTGAGTACATTCTCGCTTATCCTCTAAGGATAATACAGGAAAAGGGAAACTTCCCTGCAAGCAAAGGATTTGTAGGGACTTGCTAATACAAGCTAAAAACAGAACAGAAAAAACAGTTAAATACCAATCCTGCAGAAACTAAAAGGGAAAAGTGTGAGTGGAGACTGCCTGTGCTTACTTCTTTTTGGGCTCCCCAGATACTGAAAGTCAAATTTCACAGCAGAAGTTAGAAAAAAAAAAAGGAAGAAATTTCACCTCCACCATTTCAATTATACTTTATTTATGTGAACTCAGGTTAATTAAGTCCAACTAGAAATTGGAAGACAGAAAAACAGGAGACTCATGTGGGTACCTATTTCTACTATGGAAGAGATTTAAATTTACTCAAGAGGTGAACCAGAGTTTTAAGCTGATAAGGGAGGAATGTTATTATCCTTATTTCCTTTTTGCTTCTATATAGGACTTTTACTCGTAGGCTTAGCAGTGGTATTTTATCTATTAGTGTTTTTCTCTTCTTCTAATATATTACAAGCTCCACGGGACAGTGACTGTGTGTTTTTATCTACATAGCTTCCATATGCCTAGCATAAACCAAACCAAACCAAACTCACTGCATTGAGTTGGATTTGACTCATAGCAACCCCTCCTTGGGTTTCCGAGGCAGTATCACTAGCACCTAACCAAATATTTTACATATATGCTTAGTATGCTGTTGCGTTAAATGGAAAAAAAAAAAAAAGTCTAGGGGAATCAGATGGAACTCAGGACAAATTAGAAGGGAAATATGGGGACTCGTATTAGGCCAACATTAAGCAAATTTCTTTAGCGTTGCCTCAAGAGGTAATAATGTCCCTTTAACATCTTTGAACTTCCGGTTCAAGCCGGATTCAGAAGAGGACGTGAACAAAGGATATCATAGCTGTTGTCAGATGGATCTTGGCTCAAGGCAAGGAATACCAGAAAGATGTTTACTTGTGTTTTATTGACTATGCAAAGGCATTTGATTGTGTGGATCATGACAAATTATGGATAACATTGAGAAGAATGGGAATTCCCAAGCACTTGATTGTACTCATGAGGAATCTGTACCTTGACCAGGAGGCTGTCGTTCGAACAGAACAAGGGGACACTACATGGTTTAAAATCAAGAAGGGAGTGCATCAGGGTTGTATCCTTTCTCCACACTTATTCAATCTATATGCTGAGCAAATAATCCGAGAAGCTGGACTGTATGAAGAAAAACGTGTATCAGGATTGGAGGAAGAATCATTAACAACCTGAGATATGCAGACGATACAACTTTGCTTGCTGAAAGTGAGGATGACTTAAGGCACCTACTGATGAAGGTTGAAGAATACAGTCTGAAGTATGGATTACGTCTCAACATAAAGAAAACAAAAATCCTCACAACTGGACCAATGAGCAGCATCACAATAAATGGAGAGAAGATTGAGGTTGTCAAGGAATTCACGTTGCTTGGTTCTACAATCGATGCCGATGGAAGGAGCAGTCAGGACATTAGACGACGTGTAGCATTGGGAAAGTCAACTGCGAAGGAACTGTTTCAAGTGCTGAGGAGCAAGGATATCTCCTTGAGGACTAAGGTGCGCCTGACACAAGCCATGATATTTCCAATCGCCTGGAATGCATGTGAGAGCTGGACAATGAATAAGAAGACCGAAGAAGAGTTGATGCTTTTGAGTTGTGGTGCTGGCAAAGAATGCTGAAAGTACCGTGGACTGCTAAAAGAACTAACAGATCTGTCCTGGAGGAAAGTGCAGCCAGAATGCTCCTTGGAAGCAAGAATGGCCAGACTTCGTCTCACCTATTTTGGTCATGTTATAAGGAGGGACCATTCCCTGGAGAAGGATGTCATGCTTGGCAGGGTGGAGGGTTGACGAAAGAGGGGGAGGCCTTCAACGAGATGGATTGATACGGTGGCTGCAATGATGAGCTCAAGTATAGCAGGGATTGTGGGGTTGGCGCGGGATAGGGCAGTGTTTCGTTTTGCTGTGCATGGGGTCGCTATGAGTTGGAAACGACTCGACAGCACTTAACAACAACAACAACAACACCCTTAGAATAATAAATAGGATGAATGGCTACAGGCAGGGATGCTGGGGAAAGGGTATCTTCTGTGGGTCTGGGGACTTACATATTTCTTTGAATATGTCTAGTCTGCATTAGTTGTACACAGGAACTTTAAGAGCTACTTCAAAGTCTTTAAGATTTTGTGTTTCTGAGTAAGACAGTCCTCAGAGAACCAGGCTGAAAAGCAAATGAAGACAACAAGGAAACACGAATCTATCCTAAAACCTACATTACAACAGGCCTTTCCTGTTCCACTGTAAATCTAGTGTTTAATAATCTAAAAGCTCAATCCCACTTTATAATTAAGCATCAGAACAATCTTTGACCTCTAAGCATTTCACATTTGCTGTTTTTCACCTTTGATAGTATTATCTCCATTTTATAAGAGGACACTGATGCTGAAAGATGAACAGTTTTTGAGTTCTGGCTTAAAACATATTCTTTCCACTGAACCTTCTTCCTTCTAAGTACATTTATACAAAATACAACCACTGCTTATTTTGTGTATTAGTATTAAAAAATAAAAACCATTGAGTAAATTCTACTCATAGTGACTCCCACTGGGTTTCCAAGCTGTAAAATCTTTACAGAAGTGAAAATTGAAATTTTCTAACGTATCTTAACTTTCATTCCATAAATTCATGCATATCTTACCACTTATTTCAAGTTCTGCCCAATGTGATTTCTTTCCATTTGCTGCTTCCTCAGAGGACATAATTGTGTACATCCTCCGAGGGTCAGGGGGCTCGTATTTTTCTTTGGGCATGCCTGTTGAATTAAGAAAAGAAACCAATCAGTATTCTAAAGAATCAAATAACCCAAACTAACAGCTACTTTTTCAAAAACAGACACCCTTGTTTTTGTTGGGTACGGAGTCAATGACGACTCATAGCAACTCTATGTACTACGAACGACTTGTCATTTTGTTGTACTGTGGTGGCTCGTGTGTTGCTGTGAGGCTAGAGGCTATGCCACCAGTATTTCAAACACCAGGAGGGTCACCCATGGTGGACAGGTTTCAGTAAAGCTTCCAGACTAAGGCAGACTGGGAAGGACAGGGCCATTCACTTCTGAAAAAACTGGACACTGAAAACCTTACATACAGACACCTTTATTACGGTCTCTTAAATGACATTTCCCACTCAAAAGACCTAGGAGCTCCTTGGAGAAATGGATGATTTCAGGTCTGAGATAGGAAAGAAAAAAATAAGCCTGGGAAGCTAACACAGGCATTGAAGTTGAGAAGGCTATAGCAGCCAATGTAAAAAGACTATCACTGGCCAAAGATAAGCAAATGTGACTATCAAAAGAATGACTATAATGAATCATTATGAACTGTAAGAATTCATCATTTTAATTTAAAAAAAGAGAAAGAAAAACTTAAGTTACCTGAAAATTAGAAAATAAAAAGGAAGAAACAAGTATTTATCTTGCATTTCTGGTAGAAACTAGATGAAGGAATGTTTTTCTTAATAGAATTCCAGCCAATAAATGTAGGAATTATATGATTAGAAAATCTTAAATTTGCAATCCCTAACGAAATAATGAATCTAGAGAGTAACCATCAATGGTTAATAAAACAATTAAGTAAATTTTAAAAATTTAAATGAATAGCTCAGGCTATAACATCTGAACTCAAAGATCAATTCATCACTACGACAAATCAAAAACTCACTGCCACCAAGTCAATTCTGACTCAAAGCGACCCCTCCTTGGGTTTCTGAGTTGGTATCTCTACAGAAGTAGACTGCCCAGTCTTTTTTCCAAGGAGTGGCTGGTGGATTTGAACCGCCAGCCTTCTGGTTAGCAGTCAAATGCCTTAGGCACTACGCCACCAGAGCTCCCATCACTAGGACAACCAATCATTATATGCCTCCTGATGTGATAAACAGTAAATATTACACATTTGCTTATCTTTGGCCAGTGATAGTCTTTTCACATTGGCTGCTACATCCTTCGCAACTTCAATGCCTATGTTAGCTTCCCAGGCTTATTTTCATTCTTTCCTATCTCAGACCTGAAATCATTCATTTCTCCAAGGAGTTCCTCGGTTTTTTGAGTAGAAAATGTTACACTACTTATGTTCTTGCCCCCCTCACAAAAAAAGAAAAAGAAAAAGAACTTGAATCAAATTACGCCTTTAGATTTGGTAACAGTTTACAGAGAATGAGGCAAAAAGAAACATGTTAAAAATACTACCACAAGAATACAGCCAGCCTGATGCAAAATATGGAAGTTCCTTATTTAAAAAAAAGAGGGGGGTAGTGGGGGGACCCAGGTTCTTTTAACAAATTAATGGCATGAAAAATGAGGAATGAGAAGAAATTGGTATGGATTAAATGATTTAAGAGGCACAGCAATTGTTATGGGTTGATTTGTGTCCCCAAAAGATACAGTCGAGACTACCTGTGAATGTGACCTTTGCAGATACAATTAGTTAACATGAGGTCAGAAGGGTAGGCCTTAATCCAGTACGACTGCTCCTTATAAAAAGCAGAGAAGAAACACAGAGATACACAGGGTGACAGCCATGAAACAGTGAAGACACAAAGATTAGAGTTACAGTGCCATAAGTCAAGAAACACCTGGGACCACCAGAAGCAAGAGGAGGCAAGGTACTGGCTCCTACAGGCACCTTGATTTCAGACTTGCAGACTCCAAAACTGTAAGAGAATCAATTTCTGTTGTTTTAAGTCACCCAGTTTGTGGTACTTTTAAGGAAGCCCTAGGAAGCCAATGTAGCAATCAAATGCAATGTGTAGACTTTATTTGGTTTTTTGATTTGAACAAATCAAGTCTAAAAAGACATTTTAGAGAATCAGAATTTTAACACTAAATATTTGATGTTATGAAAGTATTGTTCATTTTGCTTATGATTTTTTCAAAACAATCATTATCCTTCATAGATATACCCTGAAAGATGTACCTGAAAAGTAGTATCACTCTCCTGCATACTCCTAATTTTCTTTCCCCTCTCTCATTTTACCTTATTCATTCTGATAGACAGTACCCCTGGGTTAACCAACTTTTCACCTACTTTGTATCTAAAAAGCTGGAGAAAATCTAAAATATCTGGAGAAAAACTTACAAATATGTGAACTGAAAGTGAGCCAGTCAGCAATACTTACCTCAAATGAACTCTTTATACTGCTCAGAAATTAAACTATAAATCTCCCCAGTCTATTCTATTTCTGTAAGTCATCTGTATGATTGCTCTCTTCAAACCTCTAACACTTCCTCCTCTACTTACCCTCTCAGCTAAGGACCTCACTTCTATTTTCTCAGTGAAACAACAAAGAAGCCTTTCAACAAACTCCCACCTATGTCCGTCTATACTCTCTTTACTATGGACAAACTTCCTGCCCTCTTAACACTTATGTACTGAATCCCACTACATCATCTTGCCTATTTAAGGATATTACTACAGTAAATCTTTCCTACATCAATTTTCCCCTACCTACAAGATTGTTCCCCCCAGATATATACATTGTACTATTTCCCCTATTAAAAAAAGTCTTGACCCTATCTCCTCCTCTAGCTAGTACCCTTTTTCTCTCTCATTCTCTTTATAGCAAAAATCTTCAACAGAGTTGTATGTGCCTTATCTCCTATTCTTATTCCTCGCCTTCATCTTTAACCCATTCAAATCAGTAAAGTGAAATAACAATAGCCAAAGACACACTGTATTTCATCACTTTTAAGAACATTTTCATTGTAACATCTCTGAGGTGGGAATACAGCCTACATTCAATAGTGGTCATCAGTAATTTTCAGATTTTACTTCCCAAAATTATTGCCCTCAGATAATCATGAAAACTTAACTAAAACTGTCCCACAAAGTCATCTTTAAACCAAACAATAGTTTGGTTTAATTGGTAAAATACATTTGCCTTGAACACTGTGCTTTTTTAAAGAATTATCTATATGTGATCAAACTGACAACAACCCAAAAGGTTAGATTTAGAAGCTTAGAGGGCAATGAGTTTATGTTAATGGTGGTGGAATAACTGGGGAAAGGATAACAAGAATGGTTGTGTAACTTGAAGAATGTAATCAGTGTCATTGAATCGTACATGTAGAAATTGTTGAACTGATTTTTACCTTTGTTGTGTAAAATTTTCACAAAAATAGGGATAAAATTTTCAAACTTTTAATTTTAATAGTATATAAAACAATGGTGTATTTTACTATTAATAACAATTCTTATATGCTTTTTTAAAAAATGACAGAATAAAATTTAAAAGGATGAACTTAATCTATAGATTTAAAGAAGCTAACTACACAATAAGGAAAATTACAGTGTCAGTGCATTTCTCATCTAACACTAAATGCTGGAAGACCATAAAACTTTATTTATAAAGTTCTGAAGGACAAGGATTAAGACTAAAATTCTATAGAGTTCTAGTTCTAGTAACCGCAGAAGAGCCCAAATTGGATTAATCCTCCTGCAGATAACAACTATCGATTTGAAAAAATTTAAAAAAAATAAATGTTTGAAGGAATGAGAACCCCCAAAACAAACAGAAACTAGACGGGATTCTATTTTTGAAAGAAAGGAACTGCAAGAAGTGAGAGCTTTGAACTGCAATAGGTGAGAGCCTCAGTCATACAGCATTTGTCCTAAAGGTAACTTCAGTCCAAGAGACGTGCAGCAACCAGAATTCAAGCAGAAAGGTGATGGTTTCTGGCTCGAGGTATCAAAGATGAAGTTAGGAATTGCCACATCAGCTGGAACTGAGGAAGGGAAATCCAAGAAAGGTAGGAGTTATCCTAAAATCTACACAGAAACTTCTCTAAATTCTTTGGACATCCACTGAATTACACACACATAGAGACCCCAAGGTGCCCTTTGGAAAGGTGCTACCAGGCTGAAAAGATGAACAGAAATTTCTATGGCTGCCCACCACAAGGATGACAAAGTTCGGAGTTTGCAAAGTTAGAGGGGCCATGTATATACCCCTCTCCTCCTGCCTTTTTATTATTTTTTTAAATTTTTACTATTATTGTGCTTTGGGTGAAAGTTTACAGAGCAAATTCATTTTCCACACAGCCATTTATATACCTTTTGATTTCCCTTTGAAATTTTCAAAAGGCCCCACCTTTGGAATAAAGACTACATAGTAGGTCTAGGAGTAAGAGATTTGCCTTAAAGGGACATCAAGCTCAACTGGCATAACATACTATACAAAAACATTGTTCCACATCTTATTCTGGCAAGCAGCAACTGGGAACTTAAAACCTTGTAAGCAGCCATCAAGATATGCAACAATGGGTCTCTCTTTCTCCAAGCAAAGAAGAAGGAAGATAACCAAAGACACATGGAAACAATTAGTCCAAAGAACTGGTACACCATACAATCCTCAGCTTATATGAGACCAGAAGAACTTGATGGTGCCCAGCTACCACTCAGAAAGAGATCTATGTAGGAGATACTGGATAGAATGGGAGAATAATGGGGACCAAAACTAAAAATCATAAATAAAAAAGAAAAGAAAAAAACAGGTTTGCCGGACTGATAGAGCCTGTCAGAACCCCTGAGACTATGGCTTCTAGCTCCCCTTCAGGTCTGGAATTGAACCCACTCCTGTGGCTTCCAGCTAAACAGAAGACAGGCATATGAGTTGAACATTTACCTGAGGTAGATACACTCCTTGGCGAGAACAATCATTGAGAAAGAAGGGCTGTGTATGCACAGGGACATAGCTCAGGGGTCAGGAGTGCATGGAGGGAAGGACACAGGGAAGAGTTAACTATGGGGAAGAAGTG